TAGGGATTGGCGGATGTCTATTGGATGACTCTGCCAGCACCTTGTGAGAAATCAAAGTTTACGGGTTCCGGGGGGAGTATGGTCGCAAGGCTGAAACTTGAAGGAATTGACGRAAGGGCACCACCARGCGTGGAGCCTGCGGCTTAATTTTTTTCAACACGGGGAAACTCACCAGGTCCAGACAAAGCAAGGATTGACAGATTRAGAGCTCTTTCTTGATTCTATGGGTGGTGGTGCATGACCGTTCTTAGTTGGTTGAGTGATTTGTCTGGTTAATTCCGTTAACGAACGAGACCTCWGCCTGCTAAATAGGTACGCGGGGACCTTTCSTCGTGGCCAGCTTCTTAGAGGGACTGTTGGAYAACTAGCCAACGGAAGTTTGAGGCAATAACAGGTATGTGATGCCCTTAGATGTTCTGGGCTGCACGCRCGCTACACTGATGAATCCAACGAGTCGCTTGCCTRGGTCRAAAGGCCCGGGTAACCTTYTTAAGGTTAATCGTGACGGGGAAAGATTGTTGTAAKTATYGATCTTAAACGAGGAATGCCTAGTAACCGCGAGTCATCWGCTCACGCTGATTACGTCCCCGCCCTTTGTACACACCRCCCGTCGCTCCTACGGATTSAATGGTYCGGTGAAGTCTTTGGATTGCGGTGATCTCGGCGTTTTGCCGCTGGGGGTGCTGTGAGAAGTTCGTTGAACCTTATCATTTAGAGGAAGGAGAAGTCGTAACAAGGTTTCCGTAGGTGAACCTGCGGAAGGATCATAGACACGTGAATGGCCGATCTTCGGGGTGTGGGACGCTGGCTTGCTCGCCCTTCCGCCGCCCTTTGCCCCCATCCTCCCTCCATCCGCTTTTCTCTGCCGTTTCAGCACCATCTTGGGCTTAGTGCCCAGCTGGCGGCTGGCCCGGCGCAGAGGGGCGCGTGGTGTAGGTCGAGGGTGGGGGGAGTGGGCAAGGTCTGTGGCCTTGTGGCGTTGCTCCCCCTTCATCCCGTTTTGCCTCCGCAGGTTGTTACCTCGACCCAGTCCCACTCTCGACTTCTGGTCGGGATGGCGGTTGGTCCGGGCACGGACAGCCCTGCGGGAGGGTGAGGTGCGGGATGTCGGGTGGTGGCGGCTGTCCTCAGCCTGCGTACCCCCTCTCCTTCCCGTCTCAGCTTTGTCCAGACCTCCTTTCCATCCCGGCCTCGACCTCGGCTTCGTGCTCAGCTTGTGGCTTGTTTCGGGATCGAGGGTCGTGGTATAGGCTAGGGGCGGGGTGGGTTGCGGGGTCCTCGGCCCCTCCCCGTTTCRTCCTGCCTTCCTTCCCAACGGGGTTCTGCTTTCTGGACAGATTATCGTCCTCAACACAGTCGAGGTAGTCTGAATCTCGGGGTGGAGGGCCATTGGGGGAGGGTTTCGGTCTTGAACGGGGTGGTGTCGGGTTTTGGGGGGGGGGAGGAGACAGCGCTTGCACCCTCGTGGCCCCGCTGCTCCCCGGTGCCCTGCCTGGCCCCCCGAACGGGGGGTCGGGCGGGCCCGTGGCAGCGGCTGGTGGCGACGGCTTTGCAACTTCTTA